ATCATACCTTTTTTAGCGCCAGACGGAGGTGTGTCATGCCTTGTGAGGTTTTGCTCTGGCGAGGCTGTCTGCGCCTGCCTGTTTAAAATCTCTCTCCCAAGCTGGAGGCCTGGGATCCATCTGCCGAGCCAAAGGCACGCTTGGGGCTCCTGGTAGAATTGGGTAGAACGTCCTTTGATGGCCTCACGTGGTGAATGTGAGTTTGCCCGGTTGTCGGACTTGGGAAAGAAGTCTGATACAAAGAAGGATTTCTCTTTCTCAAGGGTGGAAAGCTAGTTGAGTAAATAGGTGGCTGAGGGAATTTTTAAGTCCGTTCAGTCACTGGTCTTTCTGATCAGGTTGGGTATTTGGGTCTTGTTGGGAGGGTCTCAGTAACCTCACAGGGACACGTTGCTAGATGCCAGGTTCATTGCTCTGGCCAGTTCCTCTGAGACCCCCTGAAATGCTTCTGCATCATACCTCCTGACACCCAGCTGGTGGGCTAAGACAGCTTGCGTCTTTCTTACCTAAAGAGCCAGGGCCATGCTGGGCTCAGCTTTTTGCTCCTTCAGGGTAGCGAAGGCCAGAGTTGCAGCTTCCTCCCTCACACGTTGTCCCACTGAACTGTCATGTATGTGGTCAAAGGAGAGGGGTGGGAGAAGGTAGCCAGGAGCTGTCTTCCTTCTCCTTCCCCAAGAGCTGTATGCTTTACTACCAGCCTGTCTTTGATGCCATGGTCACCCCCCAGGAAAAGGAGAAGGGAGCCAAGGTGTAGGTGCGAAGGCCGGGATCTGGGGTCTCCTGAGACCCTGGCCAGGTGTAGACTGGTTGGGCAAAAGGAGAATGTTGGGGATAGTGGGTACTGTTGGTGCTGGTGCGTGGTAGTTTTCTTCTGGGATCTCTCTGAGGCTGGTCAGGAAGGCAGAGGGCACCTGCCCAGTCCGAGGGGAAGGACTTTTGTGTTGGACTCAGCCTTGGGGATTCTTTGGTGCCAGTCTCTAGCCATGGCTGGATTTCGTAACAGGAAATGAAGGAATTACCCACATCATCCTCTTCTAAGTGGACTATTTGATGGCTTTAGGTGTCAAAACCCAGGAATCAGGAGGAAGGAGTGCTAGAATGTGGGGTTGGGCTTGGGGGGAGGTCCCTTGCCATAACCTCTCCCTGCTCCTCCCCTCCATTTAGACCAGTGGCTGCTCTGTGGGCAGATGCAAGGTTGGAGTGCCTGGTGCCTTTGGTTCATCTTGGGGTGGCCGGAGGACATCCCTTCAGAAGAAGAAATAGCACAATACTTACTTTCTTATTGCTGCCCCCATTGTTATAGCTCTTGGAGATTTAGAAAGCACTTTCTTTGCAGTGACCCCGTGTGATAGGAAATGTGGATGTTATCCGTGTTTTACGAGTCAGCAGCTTATAACTCAGAAAATTCAAGAGGAGCCCAGAGTTGTTTGGAGTCAAGACCTGAGTTCAGATCTCATCTCTGTTACTGCCTTGGGCAAGTCACTTACCTTCTGAGCTTCAGCAGCCTCTGAACATGAGGAGGTTGAGCTCAGCCATCTCCAGACCTTTCCAGTCCTCCACTCCCATGAACCCTCGGACTTGCTCAAGGTCATCGTCGCTTGGGGGTGTCTGAAGGGAGAGTCTAACCCCGGCATCCCAACTTCTCCGGTCTGTCTTCTTTCAGCCTCCATGAGGCCGCTGATCAAAGGAGTGGGAGAACTGAGGAAGACTCAGCCAGGTGTGATCCCTGGGGTACATTTAATTATTTATCTAGCCATTTTACACCACTCATCCGCCATCTAGTCCAGTCTGAGTATCTTAGGGAGGCAGAACAGAGATCGAAGGGTTTAGACTTCTAAGGATCCTGATGAATCACCTGGTCCAACACCTTGTGTTGTAGACGAGGAAACTCACCCAAAAATGTGAATCCATTGACTTAGTAGGTACAGCAGCAAGAATTTGAATTCAAGTCCACAGATTCCCAATCTTCTATTCTTTCCAACATACCATACCACCTCCAGGACCCATTGTTGGCAGAGGCTGTTGGTGGATGGACCTGAGTTCAAATCCAGCCTCAGACACACCAACTCTGTGACCCTGAGCAAACCATGTAACCTCTTTTTGCTCTGTCTGCCTCTTTTCTCATCTGCAAAATGGGATGCTAATAACACCTACCTCCCAGGATCATTATGAAGATTAAATGAGATAATATTTTTTTTAAGCCCTTAGAACAGTACCTGGCACAGGTTAGGTGCTGTAGAAATACTTATTCCCTTCCATGATACCATCTTACTACACGTATTGAGAGCATTGAGCAGCAGAGTTGGGAGCACAGCAAGGATGATGTGAGCCCTAGGCCACTGACTTTTGGGGGCTAGGCTGTTCTGGTGTCCGTGTACCAGCCTTCCCAATAAAGGAACCAAGAGAGAGGAGGAAATGGCTTCACATCAGGGAGTGTGTCACTGGGCCTTGGGCCCCCAAGGACACACATCCTGTTCCCCACATCCTGGTGTCTTAACCCAAGTGAGGAGAGTTCCCTCACACACACACTTAAAGGACAGGAAGCCATCTGACTGGAGAGAGCCGGAATGGGACAAGAACCCCTGAGAACAAAGCTTCAACAGCCTATAATCTAATCCTATCATGCCTCCCAAGTCAGAACCAAGTCAGAAGTCAGAGGGTCTAGAAAACACATTGGGCC